ATTATTATTATTATTATAAGACAAAGCTGTGCAACAAAGTCAACCTCAACCCGAAGTGCTCATTTTATCATTCAGCCTTTCCTCAAACACCAAAGCCCGCCAACCAACAAAGACATCGATGTAACTGACCTGACAGGACAGTTATCCCAGACGTCTCAACCGTCCCGTACCAACTAAATCGATAAGGGCTTCACCCGCAACTCAACGCGATTCTCCGAAGTAAACCTGAGCGCTGGTATTGTGTATCACAAGCCGAGGTAAGTAAACAAAGACACTTTCCCTGGCCTGAATATGGAAAGCGTCTACAAATTTACCATTAACTGAATGGCCTACTTTAAATCCAGAAAAACGCTTTATAAGGTCAGGGTCAGCTTCTTTTTTTCTCAGGCTACGGAATGTCTTCTTGGAGTCCCTCAGGGTTCAGCACTAGGACTTCTTAGTTTCTCAATTTGTATAAAATACCTTCAGCAAGTATAGCCCGATTTATTACTTTTCGTTGATGAGGTGAAACTGTGGAGAGACGCTTGCAACTGAAATGATAAGCTGGCACTTCAGTAGGATCTGAATCAACTTCAAAGTTGGATGGATAACAACGGGCTCATCTTTAGCACTTCAAAGTGTATTCTTAGCGAAAATTCAGATTGTTTCAGTTTCAGTTTCAGTTTGGAAAGGACAGGAGGCTTGATGGCCTGTGTTAGTCCTGGCAATGATGGTCTCTCAGCTGATCCAACTTTCTTTTGAAGGAGTCGATGGATGGAGCCTCAACCACGTGCTGAGGTAATGAATTCCACTCGTTGATTATTCGATGGGAAAGTCGGTAGTCAGCTGACAAGTAATTCGTTCTGGGCTTGTGAACTTTTTTGGAGTGTCCTCGTAGATTTTCTGTTTTGGAAGACAAGAAAAATGAGGGCATATCAGGTGCAAATTTGTCATTTAGCAATTTGAAAACTATAATCAAGTCACCTTTGATTCTTCTATATGACAGCGGGAATAGGTTTAGCTTGGTCAGTCTAGTACCATACGGGAGCTTCGCTATTCCGGGAATCAGCCTAGTTGCTGTTCTCTGAACCCTTTCCAAGAGTTCACTGTCTTTTTTTAGGCACGGGTTAGCTTGTTGTATGCAGTACTCAAGTTTAGGGCGTACGAACACTGTATACAAAGTCAAAAACTTTTTAACATCAAGATGCCTAAAAGCCCTGCGTATGGACCATAAAGTCCTAAAACCTTTGGAGGCTATTGCACGGCAGTGTGCAGTAGTCTTTGAGTCTTGACTGACGATGACGCCTAAGTCATTGTGTGCCTGAACAATAGGTAACTCAGTGTTATTCATCGTGTATGTATCTGTACCCTGATGGCCAATATGCATCACAATACACTTGGAAGTGTTTATCGGCAATTGCCAGGTTTGGGACCATTCAGATAATCTCTCCAGGTCATTTTGAAGTTCTAAGCTATCGCCCTTGCTTTGTATAGCTCTCCATATCTTGACATCATCAACATATAGCAAAACCGATGATGATAGTAGACGAGGGAGATCATTTACGTACAGGAGGAATAACACTGGCCCCAAAACTGTACCCTGGGGGATTCCACCAAGCACAGTTTCCCAGCTAGACAACTTGGAGTTCACCCTTACTCTTTGTTGACGCTCAACTAGGAAGTCTTTTATCCACATCAATAGATTGCCTCCAATCCCGACATTCCTTAGTTTATATAACAGCCGGTTATGCGGAACTTTGTCGAAAGCTTTGCTGAAATCGATGTAAGCTACGTCTATAGGTAATTTTTGGTCCTTAAGAGCGCACCAGCTTTCACGAGCGACTAATAAGTTTGTGAGACAAGAGTAACCTGTTCTAAAACCATGCTGCTTTTCGGAGAGGATCCGGTTTTCATCGCGATACTTTAACAGTTCCTTCCGAATAATCTTTTCTAAGATTTTAACAACCACACTAGTTAGGCTAATTGGTCGGTAATTCTCAGGCTTATGTTTTGTACCTGTTTTGAAGACTGGACTTACTATGGCGTTCTTCCAGTCTTTTGGTAGACGACCCTGGGTTACGGATAGATTAAAACATACACTTAAAGGGTTCGCAACAAAGTTAGCTAATTCCTTTAATAACCTAGGATGCAGTTCATCGGATCCAGTGGATTTACCTATGTCAAGCTTAACTAGCAGACCAAAGACATCGAGTTCTTTAATGGTTACGCTGTCCATTGCTTGTGTGGGGGATTTTCATGGACTGGTGAGAAGGGTGTTTCTATGGTGTATACATCGCTAAAGTATTTAGAGAATACTTGAGCTTTGCCAAAGTCATCCTCCACTAGTGATGTGGCAGTACTGTCTCCCCATAGTGAAGGAACATTTCTTCTTCTTCTTGTCCTTTGGTTTATATACGAATACAAGTGTTTAGGGCACTCTATGGATTCCCTAACGATTTTCTCTTCGTACAGCTTTCTGGCCTTACGGAGGGTCGAGGCACAGGTATTTCGAGCCTTCAGTCCCCAGTAACCTAAATCTGTCCCACATTTTCCTTCTTTTACGGAGAAGGATGCGAACCTCCCTACTGAACCACGGTGGGGAGTTTCTCGGTCTCTTAGGTGTAGTCCAAGGGATGTGGGGGGCGGTAACTTTTAAGTATAAATTCCGGAATACGTCCCAAGCCGTTTCGATTGATGACTCTGGATCTAATTTCCAATCTACTAATGATGCTGATTTCATGATGTCTGGTATGTTTGCTTTCCAGACGTTAGGTCTGGATTGAGCTGAAGCGTACTCGTGATCGACAGTTATATGGAAGTCAAAGCTTAAAACTGCATGATCACTTTTGCCTAGGGGTGGCATGTAATCCAGGCTTGCAACATCATCCTCACAATGAGTCAATATAAGATCTAGTAAGGATGATGCAGAACCCGGGTCGTACCTAGTTGCTTCCTTCAAGTGTTGCACTAGGGCACATGTGATTACCGCATCAACTAGTTCCTGTTCGAAGGAGTTTGTTGACGATTCAGTCCGCAGATTTCCCCAGTCCACCATGGGTGCATTAGAGTCCCCTAGGATTAGACATCGACCACTTCGTGATAAAGTGTTGAGACTGCTTAGCAGGATATCGTTTGCCTCACAGCTTGGACTGCGATAGATCAAACTAAGTAGCAACTCTTGTCCCCTGCATTTCAGGCGGCAGCAAACTAATTCATACTTTCCACTCTCATGGGATACACTGTCGATAATGGTGAATGGAATAGCATTCCTAATAAATAGAGCTACTCCCCCTCCTTTACGCGTTTGTATTCTATCGGCCCTTAACAATGTAAAACCCTCGAAATCAAGTTCCCTACTATCTATAGACGGCGTCAGCCATGTTTCTGTGACTGCAATTATGTCTGGCCTAGTTGAGTCAATCTGTACACCTAGTTCCGGTAGCTTATTTAGTAAGCTCCGGGCGTTGGTATAACAGATCCGAAGCCTATTTAGGTGGCCTCGTGCTTCACCCAGAGTGGCTTCGGCATCATCCTCTGTCGAAGCCTCACAACCCGAAAATTTACAATTTTCAGGTCTTTTTCGCCAGCGTCTAATCTGAGCTGTAGTTCCTTTTCGGCTTCCCGTCTTTTAACACGGTCCGCCAACGGTAAGTCCTTACGGAGAAAAACTCCTGAACCCTTTAATTTGTGCCCATTTTCTAAGATTAAGTCGCGTTCGTTTGAGGATTTGAAAACGACTTTGAGTAGTCTAGACTGACATGGTTTCAGATGCGCTAGGTTTCCTAGTCTATACACCTTTAGCAAGGTGACTCCGGGGATGTTTTTGGGCATAACTTGGTTGAGTAGTTGTTTTATCAACACAATGTCATGCTCAAAACGAGCTTTCGGTTCTAAGTTGTCACTCTCCTTGACTCTATGGAGAATGACTGATCTGTCGCTGTGATCAGACCTCGGCTTGTCAAACCTTTTGGTGAGGGTATGATTTCCTTTTACGTCATTTTGGCGTTTTTTTCTTACGACCCGTACCCAATCGCCAACATTCTTTGGAGTGGTAACCACATTCGCGTCAGGCGTACTGTGGGATTCCGGAAGAGTCAGGACGACTTGGGAGATTGGGTCATCTTTCGCGCTGGAAACCGATCGAGCCTTGCGGTTTTGGCTTCCGGAAGTTCCCTTCTGGGTACCATTTTTGATACGAGGGACAGAAGAGACTTTTTTGCGCGAGTTTCTGGTTGTAACCCCTCTTTGGAGGATGTTCTTCCTCCTTAGTAGAGTGTGGGTCGGCAGTTTTATGACTCACTTGGGCCTGCCTTGTGTCAATCTGCGTGTCGACAGATTGAGTTCTGACTGATGTATCCCGACCGCGCTTGCCGAGACACTTTTTTGCGGCATTTACTATTGAAATGGCCTCGGTTAACAGAGTATTTGCATCCAAACAGCACTGTTGACATAGCCATACGCACCCATTTTTACTGAACCACTTGAAAGCTGCAGGTGTTAGATTCGTGCAAACATCGTGGTACCAACCTTTGCACTCATCGCACTGCATGCCGCTATCAACAGGATATCGACATCCTGGGCGGTGTCAAATGCTTTTGTTGCATCTTCCAGTCATTTTAGGATGCGAAAGTGAGTGTTGACTACAAGTAGAAAAAAAAACTATAAACAGTTAGGACCAAAGTACTAACAGACACAATGGAAAAAAAGGTACTCTGGAGTACCGACGATAAAACTATTTAGGATACCAAAGATGATACTCTAATAGAATACTTTAACTGAAAGAAATTCAATCAAAGTATAAAAACAGTAGTCTTGATACGTTAATAACGATCAAAACAATAGAATTTACTCAACGAGGAAAAATACTACTGTCCTTTTTAAATAGCGCTCACAAGTTGTCATTCACATATCTATAACTACATTGCTTTTAGCAACACACGCTTTTTAGAATTTAATTCACTTGAAAATGTTTTTAATTTTGCTTAGAACAATCACAAACCTTTTAGTGTTTAAGTCTACAGATTTAGTCAAGTTTTCAAAAACTGAAGGTTGAGTGGGTGATTGCTGTTGCTCATCAGCGCTGGGATGGAAACTATCAGCGATGATGAACTGCGATCAGCTTTGTCTAGATATCTAGATGTTGTTCCTCCAGTGACAGGTAAATGTTTGACTTAAGTCAGTGTAAAAACTAGATTCGACTCGAGCAACCTTGATCGCTAAGCTGAAAAAATGCATATCGAATGGTTCTGAGAGTTTATTGAAAGATTCTCCACAAAACGTCGTAGATAATCCTGCCACCGTAACAGAAGATAGGTAACTAAGTGTGAAAGCTTACTTCTGTAGACCAATACAGACTGTAATTTCCGAAAATGGTCATGAATCACCGAAATATGAGACGACATTACTGCAGAAGTAAGTGCTCTTCATTATTTTACAGGGTTAATATGCATAATTTAAAAGTATCTGCCCAAAACTAGAACATTTTCGTACGTATTAGATGATTTCTTGATGCTTATATGTGTCAAGGCGACTTCCCTTGGTCTTAGTAGTAACCTGTTGACTAATATCAAGTGAAATGACTTTTAGGTGCCAATGAATCAGTATGTAGGTACTCTTAGTTATTACTTAAGGTTGACTTAATATTTGAAAAGTTTGAGACAGTAGGGTTTGTTCGAAATGCCTGCAGTGTTGGCTCATCAATGTCATGCATCAATGAGGAGACCAAGGAAGCTCGCTCCGAGTACAATCAAATCTGATTGTCGGGACCGGATTCAGTCGCCAGCAATATAACTAACCGAACTTATTATACGGCGAGGCCATTGTCTTTTTTGTCTACTCACTGTTGTCTGATAATATGGCTTCCCTTGTGTTGCATCTAACTTGGCGCACCATCAGGAAATGCCCTTATACGAAAGGTCTTATGGTATCATATTGAGTGTAAGATCAAAGTGTCTCTACTTGTCAGTCGGTAAGTAAATCCATGCTCCTACCCGCTGACCATATTTGTATTGAAACTAATGATATCTCTAAACTTCATAAATCAAATTAGATGTAGAGTTTTAAGTGCGGTTTGCCGATAAAAGGACATTCAATCCGTTGGTAATCTGGGATCTTACCCGTCAAATATTTCATAATATACCAGCTATGAACCACTTGAGTATCGTTAATTCCTCATAATCACTGTGGCTCAGTCTAGCACACAGCTTATCACTTAACGCATCCGACTTCAGTAGGTAGCAAATTGAAACCCTGGTTTATCTGCTTCAAGTTTGGCGAGCGTGTAATATCTCAAGTTTTTACACAAACAGTATGGTTCTAATCCGATTAGATAAACCTTCCGATAAATAAGTTTAGTTCAGTGTGTGCATCAATATATAGCTACTGAACATTAAGTTCAAATACATTTCCTCTTGATTGCCGAAATTGGATGATATTTCACTGAATTTTACTAACTAGTAACATTCATTTCTTTACTAGTTTAAGAATGTCTTTCAAACTTAAAGAAACTTAGTGTTTTACTTTCAAATGATTCAAATAAAAATAACTTACAAGCTAAGATTTTTACTTTAATGATACTTACCAATACCCCACTAGTACTGACCAAGTTTTTATTGCCCGCTGCTTAACAACAAATACTGATTGGGATTTCTTCCCGATTTCATCATCAGTTTCGTTTGCCGCTCCTTGTTAAGGATTAAGTAAAGGAGCCGCAGCTTTAAAATTTAGACTGTTGAATAACCAGGTCCAAATTTGTTTAAGACAACCTATTAGTTTCTTTATTTTCCAATCTAGTTGTTTGAAGCTTTATACACTGATTTCTGGGTATTTCATTGGTTGCATTAACAAGCTAAAGGCTTCAAAGACTGTATTCGCTCATTCCTCTCATACTTTAACGCCATAAGATTTTATGTTTAACCAGAAATTCACAGTTGATGGTGTTCTTAAAGTTTGTGTTTTCGATGATAACGTTCGCTTTCCTGTTTAATGTTTGGCTTCTGAGCTCTTAGTTTGGAAGCTGTCTGGCTGTCGCTGAAATAGTGGATCAGTAAGAGCATTCAATCATACCGTTCTCCCACTCTACCATGATAACCAAGTAAGACTCATATTAGTCCAGCTTTAAGAGTAAATATGAGACTCATCAACCATATTAAAGTCCACTAGATGCCATACCGACGTATATTTGGTAACTCGAGAACCGAATGGGAAAGCAGTCCCATTCATCTCTCGGCGCGCCGTCGTGAAGTAAAGAATAATTATATCCTGTTAACGACTGACGGCATATCATGACTATCAGTAGCACGGGATGCTATCAGAAACGATTTACATTAGAATCTCGTGGTGCTGCTGCGCTATTTTTTCTGCTATTGCTTTCTTCATAAGCATTCAGATATACCATTAATATGTAATAAATCAATCCTGGTTGTGTTCTTGTTTAAACTATGTTGGTTGCTATTTTGTCCTTGTAGTTATTGCAACTTCCTCTTTTCCATTTCTTTTTCTATGGCGCGTACTTTAGCACCTTGTTTCAAACCTTTTCTGTTAAAATTAAATATAGGGATTACCTTTGAGAATGTAACGTTGAAGGTAAATCTAACTTGTTAAGTACTAATTCTATGTACTCAGCTTCGAGGGATAGTGATACTATCTGCCTACCTAAATCGAATTCCGGACCTGTTAGTGGTCTAAGTACTAATCTGTTCTGAATGAAGGTCGACAGTGGTTATAGGTACTTGATAATCATTAGCAAGAAGTCCTCATTTTATGTACGTACAGTTTTCTCATGCTGTCTAAGTGTCCATATCATCCGTATTGTTTTTGTCTCTATCAAATGTCTACTTTAGACCTGTGTCTACTAAAGAACTATCTGCAAGTTTTATGAATGGGCTACCAGTACAAAACCACTCATCTCCCATACTAGAATGTGTTTCTCGACTTCCGAGTTACCGTCGACGATCTATACATCCAGATCGACCAGGAATAAATGATCCCTACGCTGATGATTTGGCTTGGTTTCCATCGTTAACACCAACAAAAAGTCGTGAACCGCCCAACAAACAAAAAACGTTTCAAAACACGAAGGGAATCCTCAGGGAAAATCTTATAAAATCCTTTTTGTATGTCATTATTGGTCTGGTGTCTGTCATTCTCGATTGTTGCTTTTCCTCCCTCTCTAAATTAACGAGTAAGTTGGTTTTCTGTTGTGTTTGGCTTTTGCACATATCTGTAGTCAACTAGGATTAGACAGAATCAATCTTACCACCAGGTTTATGTTTCATTATGGTAAAAAAATTATGCTTTTCTAACTTAACTGGGGAAATTTAAACATTGGTGTGATAGTGTCTCAATTTAGGTGGAAAAACTTTGAAACGTCAGTCAGGCAAGACTTACAAGATAAGTAAAAGTCAGAGCCAGGTTAAGACCACAAATAAATTTGTAACAGAAAGTGTAAAGTTTAAGAAATATTAGCGGCTAAATCTTTGTCACTGGTTTTCATTTTTCAATGGGTTCTAACTACATCTGCATTTATTAATGTACTTCAAAGGAATAGTCAGCGACATGGAATAATCCAATTTTAAGGTGCTTGATTAAGATATTTCCATATCTTATTTATTACTTAACTAGTGTTCGACATCACAGGTGTGTGATCATATTAAACACTAATCATCTGGACCAGATAGGGTAGGTTCTCAATCTCGTCGAATTTAGCACTAGTTGCCTCACTTATTCAAGACTTCACAATAGGCAAGTGCAATCGGCACGTCAATGTGACAGCTACGGTAAGGTCTTACTACGACTGAGATTTTGTCTTAAATTCCGCATTTTAACCATTTACTAACATAAGAAAATACTGAATTTTAGTGTGAATTCGGTTGACATCATACTGCAGTGGTTTTTATCAAGTGACAGTTGTACTCTGTTTGAAAATAAGCAGCGGTTTGCGCAGAATGACCACCTAATAAGGTGTTCTATGGGCTTTGGAGGCTAAATATAATTGTAGAATCTCGTACGGCAATAGTTTGAAAATAATACAGCCGAGGCAAACCAACTTCAAATTATTAGAAAAGTTTACACAATTTAGGTTTCCAAGTCCCGACCGTTGCTGCTACCTTGACGTGGTGGTCGGGCTTGCCTATCGTGATGATCCAATCGAGCTATGCTGGCTGGAACAATCGTTCCTCAAGGTCCTACCATGCCAGACAGGTCGATTGAAGAGCGGTGAGACTAAAAGCAGCAATCCCAAGGTCCGAAGGCGAAGTCGTACTGCTGACTGTACAGAGGTGTGAAAGCAGTAAGGTGTTTCCTTCAGACAACCAGCATGACAGCGATGCTGCCTTCCCACAAGGAGGGGTGGGGTTAGAAAAGGTCGACCCTAAAAATGCACACCTCGCCTTATCCCACGGATTTCCGTCTCCGGCGGTAAGGACTTTTGAAGAACGGAGCTAACACGTCAAAAATCCCCCACAAAAAGGCCGTGCGTGACCGGCCTCAAGCAGATGTCCCTTGGGCACTGCGGTCACGCACCCAGGTCGTTAAGACCAACACTAATCCAACTTCTTTTTCAGGTCCCTCAAGACTGACTGAGGTTTCCAAGTTGTCGCATCAAACTAGTTGCCAATTAATCTATGCATCGGCGGTGTGACTTGGTTTATACAGTTAATTGAGCTTCCAAACAATGTAAGCCGTAAGTCTTCCTGCTATGTGGTTATTGAATAGCCCCCAAATGCCTTGGTACGGCCGAGAGTTGGGAGAGTCTGCTCTCCCTCTCGAAATGCTCTCATATGGCCACGCGAATATATAGCCTCTGCCATGGAAGTCCTACTCACTGCCTTGTCGTGGCGGGGGTGTTGTTCACAAAAGTGAGAGGACGAAAAGCGAATGTCCGGCGCTTTGACCGGGTTGGTTGATGTGGAGGATCCACCTAGGGGAGTTGGAGAACCCTGACTACAAACCAATGGTGCACATGGGCTCCAGGATCCTGGAGGAACGAATGGCGTATGAACCAACTGTTGGTCACTGGCTACCATGGGACTGCATCTCCTTACGATGCTCCACTGCCTTGTGGACTAGACCTTTAGGTGAAAGGCTCCGGGTGTGACCCCCTAAGAAAACCACCTGCTTCAGTCTGGGCACCTGGGCAGTATCCCAGCCCTCACATAAATCGAATGAGATTTGTGAGGCGCATATTTATCTGATGCTTCCTTGTACCAATATTTATGTGTTTAAATAAATAAGTTATTGAATAAATACAAAAAACAGTGTTCCTCTCGAATATTCTTATAACAAGGATGAATCCCCATAAGAAGTTCTACGCTGAAACTGAGTTTATATGTGTGATGGTGCAAACCAGTTATCTCACGCCAAGATATTTAGATGTCATAGTTGCTTAGAGTAAAGAAGACAAAGAATTGGTACCTATCTGTAGTATGTGTCTACGAATAATGTTTACAAATTTAATGACTTATAGAGGTTAACTTTATAGGCAAATTATCATTTTGCAAATAGGATTCATAATTTATTTGTGAATTTTTAATTGAATTGACGTAGTCAGTCAGCTACAACGTAGGACCAGTCACATATATGCATCGGTCTAAGTTGCCATACCTCGTTAGCACAACAAAATCAACACCGAATTCATACAAGTAGTTAAGTTAATGGTGGTAATTTATGAAAGAAAGGTTGTAGATAAGGATATAGTATAGGGATACAGATATGAAGCAATTTTATTCTCATAGTTTAAGGGAAGATAAAGAGTGTATACACTTACGCCATGGTGATCGATTCTGAGACAGGTCACATAGAGTCTCCAACCATTGGTTACGATAGTCACGCGGACCCCAACCAAGTAGTCTGCATCTACCAACATGGCTCAGACTAGAAGTTAGTGACTTTAATCACTGATGCCACGTTTTGGTTTGGCCGCCTCTAACTCCTTTCCAACTATCCCCTACACTAGTCAGCATAGCGCGTCGTGGTAATCGGTGTTCAGGCATACGTAACACGTGGCCTAACCATCTCAGTTGATGAAGATTCATGACCTCACCAACTGATTTACCATCATTCTCTAATACCCTGTGTCTAACCTGACGTATTATAAACTAACCACTTTTTTTTCTTCAAATTTATTTTTCCAGATGTCATATCCACTTGTACACCATCCTTACGCATCTGCTTTTGTGTAATTTTATTTGGATTGCTTTTATGTGGTGGGCTGTATAAAGTTCTACTCGGAGATCCATTTTATCATAATCCCGCGGAAGATCTATATAACATCATACGATCTCCTTTTGTTAAGTAGGCATTGTTTATTTTATACTGGGATGACTTTGTAATCCCGGTTAAACATACTTCAATGTATTTTCTAAAATAGTTTTTTTAAACTGTTTTGTACTATATTGTTTACTTTTGTATATGTACTTAGTGTAATAAAATATGAATGTTCTGGAGGGTATATATTTTGTTCTTTAAGGAATCCAACCTTTTAGATCCTTAAATATTGTCTTGCTCTTCCTACTTCTCTCCCCCGATATTAACCAGATACATATCTCACTTGTCTTAACGGTAGCATGAACCATGAGATCTTTTATATCCTCACTGAAACAGAACCAACTGTAAACTCATCAGAAACGACATGATACCCAAGTTGAATAAAGTGATCAACAACTTTACATTTTATTGTTATAGTGCCATAAACGTGGTCATCAAACGATTCTTTCCATTTCGATTGTATTCATTCTGGACCAGATCTTACAAACGACCTAGTGGGAGTTTTGCATAGATTCAGAAAGCATAAAATTGGACTGTCAGCAGACATCGAAGAAATGTTCCCCTAGATATATCTACCTGAAAAAGATACAAAGGCCTTCAGCTTTTTATGGTATCCCGATAGTAATTTTGACTATTTTCCTGAGGTCTATGAGTTGCATGTACATCCTTTCGGGGCTACGTCCTCACCGTTTTGCGCTAGTTATGCTTTAAGACGTACAGCTGCAGACCACCGAGATTTGTTCGATGAAATAACAGTCCACCTTACGAGAGAATTTTTATGTAGACGATTGTCTGGTCTCAGTAGAAACAATATCTGAAGCTGCCGAGTTAGCAATTAGCCTAATAAGACTCGTAGCGCTTGGAGGTTTCCGTTTACATAAATGGGTTAGTAAAGTAAATGAAGCGCTGAATGACGTCCCTGTAAGCGATAGGTCAAACAATTTGGTTCGTACACCAGGTTCAACAGAACGTATACAGAGAACTTTAGGACTTTGTTCGCACACGCAATACGATTGTTTTGCATTTGACGTAAATCTCACTGAACGCCTGATCACTAAGAGAGGCATCCTATCATGTGCATCATCGTTATATGATCCGCTTGGATTTTTTAGCGCCTTTATCACTTACCCCTAAACGAATTCTGCAACAGCTATGTCATAAAAACTATGGGTGGGATGAGGAGTCACGATTGAGTTGGGAAAGTTGGTTAAAAGCAGTTGCAGGGGTCAGAGACCTAAGGATACCACGATGTCTCAATATTGAGTCGTATGATAAAGGACAGATTTCTTTACATCTGTTTTCGGATGCTTCAGAAAGCGGTTATGGGGCCGTAGACTATATGAGGTTACAATATGATGCAAGTATAACGAGATGTAGCTCTAGCTCGACTGGGAGTCTTAATATTTATTCTCGTCTATATTCGGGCCATTTATCCTTTTCAGTCGTTAGGAACTCGGGACCTGAAAGCCAAGCTTCAATACAGTTATGGTCATACTTACATATTCCTCTGGAAGCTAGATCAGCAGGATTGAAGTATGATGGTACATACTTCCATTGTAATGGCCTAGTTCGCTCGTGAATAAAGTTAATTCTATTAGCTACATATGTCTTGAAACGTGACGTCGTACTAAGTATGTAGTTTAATACTATCAGAATGTCCAGAAGTAGATTTCAGTCATGTCATTTAGCTTTATTTCTTCTACTATTTGCCTCAAATATTAAGACTCCTAGCCGAGCTACATCTCGTTATACTTGCATCATATTGTAACCTCATATAGTCTACGGCCCCATAACCGCTTTCTGAAGCATCCGAAAACAGATGTAAAGAAATCTGTCCTTTATCATACGACTCAATATTGAGACATCGTGGTATCCTTAGGTCTCTGACCCCTGCAACTGCTTTTAACCAACTTTCCCAACTCAATCGTGACTCCTCATCCCACCCATAGTTTTTATGACATAGCTGTTGCAGAATTCGTTTAGGGGTAAGTGATAAAGGCGCTAAAAAATCCAAGCGGATCATATAACGATGATGCACATGATAGGATGCCTCTCTTAGTGATCAGGCGTTCAGTGAGATTTACGTCAAATGCAAAACAATCGTATTGCGTGTGCGAACAAAGTCCTAAAGTTCTCTGTATACGTTCTGTTGAACCTGGTGTACGAACCAAATTGTTTGACCTATCGCTTACAGGGACGTCATTCAGCGCTTCATTTACTTTACTAACCCATTTATGTAAACGGAAACCTCCAAGCGCTACGAGTCTTATTAGGCTAATTGCTAACTCGGCAGCTTCAGATATTGTTTCTACTGAGACCAGACAATTGTCTACATAAAAATTCTCTCGTAAGGTGGACTGTGTTTTTTCATTTGATCTATGAGGAACGTCCTTACACTCTATAAAAAGCTAAGCAGCAATATATCTTTAGGAAACTTGTGTAGAGAAGAATATGCGAAACCATACTGCACATTATCCACCATAGGCTTTGATTCGTCCCTAAATGTTCAAATATGAATCTCTCAGCAATGTAATACACTTAATCCACATTCATCCAAGTGGAAGTTCCAAAGTTTAATGATTGACCTAATCAGAAAACAGTTCCGGATCAATGAATTTGGCTACAATTAAGAGGTCGATAAGTGCTTTTGAAGGAAACGAATCTGGTCTACATGACGGAAACTGTTTTTTGGTTTGATTCCTCATATCTTAGACGTTGAAAAGCAATTAACGCTGTTTGCAAAATCAATGCTGATCAGATCGATTTGGTTGTGATTATGGCAAGACTGTTCTTGTCTTGTCTGCAAACTGGATTCAAACTAGACTGCCAGGATTACACTCGACTCTTAAGGTTTACTACAGTGAACTGTTCAACGAGCATTATTATGTACTTGTATTACTAACCTGTTAGGGTATACTACTGCCCCTCACTCGAAATTATTTACACTGAATTCCTCCCTAAGTTTCCTTGGAAGTGTGGGTGCGATTTTCGGCAGTCAATATTTCCTGACACCTGTCCATGGCAAGATAACATCGTTGAAAATGAGGGACACCTTACTACTATTACTGTACTACGATGTAATTATGTATGGAACTTACAGTTTACTATTTTCCAACCAGTCTTTTTTGCGAACATAGCATGGTAAGCGTTATAATCAATGTAGTTTGACTTGGTTATTATGGCGGTTCTATGTATTTGACAGTCTTTAATGGTCTCTTTCTAAAAGTAATTATACCCAATCTTATGTATATTCATCCGCTACTAAAAGATTAACTGTGAATGGTTTTTGACCTACTACCGGAAATCTACAAAAAGCGGGTTAAGACTGTTATTAGCTCAAAGCCTCGATCAAAATCTGGTCTCATCTCACGCTGTCACGTATCACTTTTAGCATACAGCACAACAATTCTGAAACAAAAATTATCTATCACACTATCAAAAAAAGCTTCTACAATCCACAAATTTCGTCAATATTACTGTTTCCCAGATAAAAATTTATCCAAGAAATCTTTCGGCTTTTCTGGGCGATAATCTTCTCTAAAGAAATCCATCACATGCGTATCAGACTTCCACAAATGCGCCACTTCAAGTAGTTCATTTTGCCACTAAGAATAATACAATTAGATAAAGTCAAGTTCAACATACTCTGTGAATTAACAAGTCAATTATACGTAAATCTTTAATATCCTTATTTTTACGGAACTCTTCTCTTAATCTTGCATGCAAAACTGGCACTGTAAGATCTACGCTACTATGACTATATTCTTTTGGTATAAAAGGAAGTTGTCTGTACCAGGCACGATATAAACTAATGACTCGCCTTCGAGCTTCTGCGTGATTTCTGGACAGAATTGGCCTTGCAGCTTTCACACCAGACATAGTACTATGGAAAATGTACAAAGATAAAAACCAGTAAAGAATACATAAGAGGTATATATATATATATATATATATATATATAAGATGAATAATAGCGAATAAATAACGCTTATAAGATGTAGATGACAATGTTTCCAAACTAATCCTAAACAACATAGAGCCTGGCGTGAATTAACGTTCGCCCATATTGATATACACATCAGTTACGCAAGATGAAAGTAACAAAATAAATAAAAAGCGAGTCCATACGATTTAGCAACAATGATCGGAAAAACGGTTCAAAAATGGATGGAGCTTAAGACTTAATGTAAGATGAAGTGATTAGTTCTTCACTACTAACCAGTTGTAAGCCATGTCATTCATCACCTTAAACAATTTAGTATCCATCCGCCAATACAGCTCGGTCCCACAATCACTGACTTTATGAACTGAAAACCCGCCTGTTTATCCACCTCTATTCTTCTTATAACTTACTCCTACAAAGATCGATTAGGCAGTGGTTGAGTATACTTAATGAATGTCCCAACCATCTTAGTCGATACACAGTCATAGCCCTATCAACCGATTTTCTTAGAATCCTATGCTTAATACCAGCGTTGCCTATTTGATTGTTCCACGATATCCAATCATTGCTTTGAAAACACCCACGACTTTCTACTTTTGCAGACCACATTTAACAACCAAATAGCAAAACAGTATATTTCTAGACAATTTACTTGTCTTTTGGCTAGTAAACAGCCATCTCGTCAGTTCATAAGTGACTCACGTTGAAGACCAAAGTTTGCCTTCTGAATGCGGATTGATATATCACCAGACGGACTAACGAGGGCGGAAGAAGCTTAGATGATAAATGAAGTGGTTAACGTGTTCGATTTATTTATTCTAGGCCCTTATGCGAACTTATCGTGAAGCAAATTTTAAGGGGAGAGAAACGCATTCGAAACAAACGTACATTATGACTTAAGGCACCTGAAAACAATGGTCAGTCAGTCAGCTACAACGTAGGACCAGGCACACACATATGCATCGATCCAAGTTGCCATAACTCGTTAGCACAACAAGATGAACACCGAATTCATACAAGCAGTTAATTTAGTGGTGGTAATTTATAAAAGAAAGGATGTAGTATATGAAGGAAGATAGATATGAAGCAATTTTAATCTCAAGGTTGAAGGGAAGACAGAGGGTGTATACACCTACGCCATAGGTAACACATAGCCCAACCATTCCAATCGATGAAGATTCACAACCTCATCCACTGATTTACCACCATTCCCCAATACCTTGTGTCTAACGTCACTATTACTTACCCGGTTATCCCAGCAGATGCGAGCAATATTTCTAAGGCATCTGTGGTCAAATACTAGTAACCTACGAGTATCTTCTACTCTTAATGGCCACGTTTCGCAGCCGTAAAGTAGAACAGAGCGAACTGCTGCGCAGTATAGTCGTCCCTTAATTGATAAACGGATATCTCGTTATCACCATAGGTGACGTAAGTTGGCAAAAGCCAAACGAGCTTTTTAAATCCGTGCTGAGATTTCGTCAGACACCAACCCATAAGGGCTCGACCGTTGCTGCTACCTTGACGTGGTGGTCGGGCTTGCCTATCGTGATGAAGCAATCGAGCTATGCTGGCTGGGACAGTCCTTTTCAGGTACCTCTAGAAGAACCCTTCCACGGTGTGGGCAACCGGGAAGTGATAACTGCCCTCATACCTCTAACAGCACTGAAGACCACTGTATTCATTATCAATCTCCTTCTTCAAATCCTACTATTCCTTCTACCTTGAATTTCAACACTAAACTTCCTCTCTCGGTTTCCTCCTCAAGTGTCACCATGGCCAACGATTCTAGTGCGCGAAACGCTATCCCAGGTCAAAAAAAACCTCGCTCCAAACTACACATTGGAGCCTTCAACGTACGTACCCTATGCCAAATCGGTCAACAGGCCTCCTTAGCTAAAACCCTAGAATCTCGTACCATTGATGTATGCTGTGTCTCCGAAACACGCATACAGGATCCCAGTGTGGTCATTCACTTGACCTCGCCTCGCCAAAATGGACAGCCAACGAAATACGCCCTCCGTGTATCTGGCGACCCGTTGGCTAGTTCTCGCGGACTTGCAGGTGTAGGCATAGCACTAAGTAGAAGGGCAGAACAGGCACTACTAGAATGGATCCCCGTTAACAGTCGCCTGTGTGCTGTCCGGCTAAATGGCTCCGTAAGAAATCGGAAGGATAGGGACACACCTCGTTGCCTTTTTGTCGTTTCTGCCTACGCTCCCACTGACTGCAGCCATGATGAAGTAAAAGATGACTTTTACAGAAAGCTCTCTGAGCTTCTTCAGAAAGCTAAGCGCTCAGGCATAGTAGTCGTAGCGGGTGACTTTAATGCCCAGGTAGGCAGCTTGAATCAAACAGAAAGACATTTAGGTGGGTGTTTTAGTATTCCGGCTCAACGAACCGATAATGGTGATCGTCTGTTGCAACTATGCTCAGACAATCGTTTATTTTTAGCAAGCACTAATTTTAAACATAAGGAGAGACATCGTCTAACATGGCGACCACCTGCACCAAACCAACGATGGACTCAAATAGACCATATTGTCATCAGTCATCGTTGGAGAGGCTTAATAGTAGATTGTCGCTCGTATTGGAATACTTGTTTAGACTCTGATCACGCTTTAATACGAGCGCGCATTTGTCTGCGCCTCAATGGACGCAGGAAGAGTACACTAAGAAGACCCATTAGGATTGAACTGGAGGACGAGAAAGCCAAATGCGAATTCCAGAAACAACTGAGTTCACATCTAGGCAGTTCTGTAAACAAGACTGACACAGATGCTGCTTGGAAAGACATACGAACAGCTGTGGAAACAGCAGTAACATCTATTAGTCATTTAAACCATAGGGCTCCAAAAAACCAATGGATTTCTTCTAAGTCTATTTCACTGATGGATTCGCGTAAACTCATCCCATCAGGCTCTGAACATGACGAAGAGCGTAAAGAAATTAGATCTAGGTTAACTAAAAGTCTAAGGAACGATCGTGAGCAGCGGTGGGCAACGAAAGCAAAAGAGATGGAAAAGGCAGCGGCTGTAGGGAACACCAGGCAACTATTCAGACTAATAAAAGAAACCGGAATTAAGAAGTCAAGTGTAAGTGAGACAATCTCCGAAAAAGACGGAACCCTTATCTGCTCTCAACCCAAACGTTTAGAACGATGGGCGGAACACTTTAAGCAGCAGTTTAGCTGGCCTTCAGCTACTGCACAACTACCCACTATTCCTAGAAAACCTGAATGGAACATTGAAGTAGGCCCCCCGACCCTGCTTGAAGTTCAAAAGGCTATAGGTAATCTGAAACGAGTAAGAGCAGCTGGTCCAGATGGATTGGCTCCAGAGGTCTTTAAATATGGTGGTCCGATTTTAGCGATTAGGTTGACTAATATTCTGGCTAAAATCTGGGAGACGGATGTAATCCCATCCGACTGATCACAATCACTGATTGTCCCAATATATAAGGAGGGGTCAAAATCATCATGCGATAACCATAGAGGGATTAGTCTGACTAACATAGCATCTAAAATACTAGCCTCAATAATTATCGGGCGCCTAACTAAGACTCGTGAACTGCAAACACGAGAAAATCAGGCTGGCTTCAGACCTGGTCGTGGCTGTATCGACCACATATTCACCATTCATCAAGTTTTAGAGCACAGACACGCTTATCGGTGTCCCACAATGATAGTTTTTCTTGACTTGAAAGCATCATTTGACTCTGTAGACCAAGAGGCTCTGTGGCAGTGTTTGTCATTGAAAGGCGTACCTGAGAAGTACATAAACCTTGTGAAGGCTCTTTACTCGAACACTACCAGTCGAGTGAGAGCTTATGGGGAACTGTCATATGATTTTACAACCTCAAGTGGTGTCCGACAAGGCTGTCCACTATCCCCATTTTCGTTTAACTTCATTATAGACCTGCTGCTGGAAATAACACTCTCGTCGACTGAATTTTCAGGAATTGATCTTCCATCAGGGGGACCACTAAGCGACCTAGAATACGCAGATGACATAGTCCTGTTTGGTGAAGACGCTGACAAAATGCAGAGTTTTCTGTTGGAACTCAGTAATAATGCCAGGATGTTTGGGATGCGTTTCCCCCATCCAAATGTAAATTGTTACTCCAGGACTGGCCTGCGTCAACACCTGAACTAAGGATAGGGAGTGAAGTAGTCGAACGCGTCAACAGCTTCACTTATCTTGGAAGTCTGATCAGCCCTAACGGGTTGGTGTCTGACGAAATCTCAGCATGGATTCAAAAGGTTTGTTTGGCTTTTGCTAACTTACGTCACCTATGGCGAAAACGAGATGTCCGTCTATCAATTAAGGGACGAGTATACTGCGCAGCAGTTTGTTCTGTTCTACTTTACGGCTGTGAAACATGGCAATTAAGAGTAGAAGATACTCGTAAGTTACTAGTATTTGACCACAGATGCCTTAGAAATATTGCTCGCATCTGCTGGGATAACCGGGTAAGTAATAGTGAGGTTAGACGCAGGGTATTATGGAACGATGGTAAATCAGTTGATGAGGTCATGAATCTTCATCGACTGAGATGGTCGGGCCATGTGTTACGTATGTCTGAACACCGATCACCACGACGCGCTATGATGACTAGTGTAGGGGATGGTTGGAAGAGTTAGGGTCGGCCAAACCAAAACATGGCATCAGTGTTTGAAGTCACTAACTTCTAGTCTGAGCCATGTTGGTAGATGCAGACTACCTGGTTGGGGTCCGCGTGACTATCGTAACCAATGGTTGGAGACTCTGGGTGACATGGTTCAGAATCGATCACAATGGCGTAGGTGTATACACTCTTTATCTTCCCTTAAACCTTGAGACTAAAATTGCTTCATATATTTCTTCCTTCCTGTACTATATCCTTATATACAACCTATAATTTATATACTACTACCACCACTAAATTAATTACTTCTATGA